AACCTCCTGGAAGGGTAAGACCCCTGGGGACGGAGTTCAAGGACTCCTGCCCCCGAAGAAAAAACAGGAGTAAGCCTCCTGCAAGGATAAGGCCCTGGGGACGGAGTTCAAGGACTCTTGTCCCCGAAGAAAAAATAGGAGCAAGCCTCCTGGATAGGGCAAGGTCCTGGGGACAGAGTTCAAGGACTCCTATCTCTGAATAAAAGGTAGGGACAAACTTCTATAAAGAGTGAAACCCCGTGGATATGTACGGGTCTTAGCAATGATGAAGCTGAACCAATCGGGTAGGCAAACCAAATTGCTCCCCAGGTGTTAGAGCTATCAAAAAAAAAATATAAGTACTTAGAAAAAAGCTTCATTTTAAAAGAGGGGCTTTGCGTCCCCTAGAGCTACAAGAGTGAAAGAAGAAAGTACAATTCAAAAGAAAAGCCTTCATCTGGCCCTAGGCATCTCCAAAACATCGCCGAAGGGCGAATCAACGCAGAAAGGTTGGGCATCTTCGGGCACAGGATGGGATTGGACTGGATCGGCGACAGCAGGAGTCTTGGGAACATTGTGGTCAGGTGCCAAGCCCGACGAGGCCTCCTCTGATGGGAGTAGAATCACCACCTCGGGCAGGTCTGCCAAAACTTGCATCGGCATTGGAGTCGCACCCTCGGCAGTAATCTCAGCCTCTGCCTGTTCCATCTCAGCCGATTGCACATAGTTGTGCATCTGGAAGAGCGAGGAGTCTAGAGGGACCCCGGCGGATCGGAGTGCCTCGTCCCATCCCCTCTTGAAGAACTCTCTGCTATTTTCCTTAAAAGCAGGCAGTACGTCATCGACGAATTCCTCTCGGAGTTGTTCTTCGGATTTTCTGCTCTCTACCTCAGCCCTGATCCTGTCTAGCTCCTAGGTCAAAGCCAGACAGCTTTCCTCTGAACCAACAACCCTCTCCTCTGCCGTAGAGAGCCGTTACGTCTGCTTTGTAATCCTCCTCTCAGCGTCGGCCAAGACAGCACTTAGTTTTTCAGCGCCGACCTTCGCCAACTCGACATCCTTGAGGAGTTGTTCGATTTGAGCAGCCTGCCCCGCGAGGGTGGAATCCCTGGCAGCGACATCCTCCTTAGCACTGGCGAGGGCTCCCTCGGCTTCTTCCTTCTGTTCTCGAGCCCGCTGAAGGTCCATCCTAGTCCCATGATACCTCGTCGCTATTATAGAAATTTGTTGGGTGGCCTGCAAAGGAAAGGGCATGTCGATAAAAAGAAAAAGCGGCTAGAAAGGACTGAAAGCAAGAATGAACTTACTACCAGGGAATTCTGAATGATAGAACGAAACAACACGTTCGTTGATCTCCCCCTGTGAGCCACCATGTCGGTCTCGAAGTGCAGCGTCTCACCCACTGCGTTGACAACATGAGGGTCCTGCAAAATGGAGTCATCAACCCTAATCACTCGGTTCATGTGATCGGTCGCCCGAGGATTCCACTCTGCGGCTTCCACCGTCTGAGGAAGGGGAGGGGGAGTCTGCTCCTGCTGCTGTTGCCTCTGCTGCTGCTGTTGCTGCAGTGGAGGAGGAGGTAACCCACGGCCTCTCACGCTTTGCTGCTGAGCGGAGGGAGCCCTGGATCCCCTGCCCAGGCCATCGTGCCTTTGTTTAATCCTCCTCTCCACCTCGACCTGAGGATCTCGGTCGCGCACTTGGCCCCGACCAATGACCCTTGAAGGTGGAGTGGCGCTAGTCCCTGTAGGTGGGGGGCCGCTTGTTAACCCACGCCCCCGCTTGACAGCGAGGGCTTGCCTCTGCCATAGGAATCCCATGTCAATGCGGGGCGTGCTGGACATAGCTATCTCAAGGGCGTCCTCGGCGTCTAGAGTTTGTAGGATTTGGAAATCAGGCCACGAATCTCTTCCCGAAGTCCCCACCTCGGCGTGCGAAGGAACCAAGTCCTCTCTGACCCCGAGCTCTTCAACTTCATCCTCTACTTCTGCCTCCGTAGCCCGGTCAGGGTCTTCCTCTAAGTTCTCCTCGTCCTCTTGCCTCACCGGCTGATCGAAGAGTTCAGACCACCGCGAAGGCTCGAAAGGTTGGAGAAGCTGTGAAAGCTTTTTATATCTGGGAGTATAATTCAGGAGAATGTGGGCAGCCTGGCCGAACCCATCGTCACTAGTAAATCTCCAAACAGTGACTAGGTCGTCAAAGTTCACCAAGGACCAAGGTGGAGGAGCTGTTTCCCGAGGGGAGATGTCTGCACGCAAACAAAAAGAGAGGGGGAGTGGGTTATGGACTCTGCTAAAAAATCTCAAGAGCAAAACAATAGAACCGAAGAAGCTGATGTACTTGTCGTTCTCCATTCCAAAGGGCATAACAAGCCGTTGTACTCGAGACCGACATCCCTCTGCCAAGATCCTTTGAAGATGAGTAAGTCATCCTTGTACCCCTTATCCGAGTCGAAAAGATGGATTACGAGGTATATGGATGGGTCCCAGACTTTGAGGTAGAAGTTTTGTTGAGGCATGACCCTCAAGAGGGAGTAGCAAAAGAGGATATCATTCAGCCCAACATTTACCCCGAGACGCTTGTTGAGCTCTAGGACTCCTATAATTATTCTGAAGACATTAAGACAACACTGCCCGGGGAAGAGGTGGAAATGGGAGAGGAACTGGAGGAGTAGAGGGGATAGAGGAAACCTAATTCTGCCCTCTATGACGGCTTTGGTGTAAAAGGGCATCTCATCCTCGGCCCCGAGAGTACGAGAATGCACAGCCGAGTTATAATCCTTTATGTCTACGTATGGGGGGATGCTGTACTTGACCCTAAAACTATTAATTTGCTCGCCCCTTTTACTTTATACTTCCCTGGACTCGAAGAACTGGCCTGAGGATTTTCGGGGGCAGGGCGACGATGGGGCATCTCCAAAAAGTGATAAAACAGTGAATAAGGAGGGGGTTTTTTCACGAAGATCCCCAAGGAGGCTTCTCGAGGATTGGTCGCTGAGTAGCAACCAGAAACGCCTCCAGTTATCGAAAAAACAAAAAGAAGAAAGAAAAAATGAGAAGAAAAGAAGAGACGGAGGGCGAAGAAAGGGAAGATACAAGGACTCACCAGAACGTAAAAGGAAGTTTTTTCTTGAAACTTGAAGCGACTCCTTCCTCCAGAATGGTCAGAAGCAAGGATGAGTCTACTGGCCTTAAGACTCTAGTGAAAGATTGGACAGTAGACGACGAAAGGAGAAGGATCTCCGACGAGGTTTCAGGCAATGACTCTTTGAAAATGGCAAAGTGAAAGGGGGAGAGAGGAAGCCCATTTATATAGTACTCCTCCCCATTATTTGGGCACAAAGCACGAAGAGGCGCATTTAATGCGCACGACCTCCGAAGCAGGGGAAAGCGGCTGAAGGCAATGATGAAGTAGTTGGGGTAGTTGCAGAACCCTTCGTCTCCTTACGACGTGTGTCTTTGGTGTCAGGAGATCGAAGGCTGGGGGGTAGTTGATGGGACATTTCCAAGTACTCCAAGATGAAGACACGTGTCCTCGGCGTCACTAAATTCTTTTTCTATAAACGCGACACGTACCCGTCGAATTACAAGTCCCTGTTTCCCCGAGGTACTGTTCATAGGGATCAATGACATTCAGTACGTTACATACCGACATGTATCCCTCGGGGTCGGATAGGGTACATTGGTCCTACATGTACCAATCCCCCTCGGTACCGAGATGTACCCTCCGTCCAGGATGGCGTTCTCTGCTCCTGCAAAGGCTATTGATGTATAGGTCACTAGCCTAGGCTAGTTATCATGACCTCGTCTTACACAATTGGTATCAGAAGGCACAAGTAGGCAGGGGACACAGCCAATGGGGAATGAACGCGTGACATATTGTGTCACATCAGAGACAAAAAGACTGGATACCCTTACTGACACACGACTTGGGAAAACAAACATTTAATTACACCATTCCCTTGATGAGACAACATTTAATGCGGTAAGGCTCAGAAGTAAAAGGTAATAAATGTCCCTAAGGCTGAGCATTTATTACATCCTTGCCGAGAGGAGCTCATTAAACAGTCGGCAGGCCGATGACACAGCCTTGGTTGCTCGGGATCCCGAGTAGTTAAAAGAGAAGACATTCCTCACAGGAATCAGTGCGCACGTTGCCCGTATCTAATGATCACCTACTGACCACACTGACAGCAATTATGAGTATTTGAGGTATAAATACTCCTCACAAAAGGCAAGAGGGAAAAAGAACGTGAAACCTTTGTTACAAATTATACTCAGTGTTTTCTTCTTCCTCTCTCTCAAAAACTGACTTGATCGTCGGAGGGGATACGCCAGAAAACACTCCGACGCCCTTTTAACTTGTCTTTCTTTGTTCCAGGAACCTTTCTCAGCCTTACTGGATCGTTCCGTTGATCCACGAGGGTCTCCCATTATCGTTCCAGGTTACCACCGGACCTCACAGGCTGTTCCAAGCAATAGAGTTGACCACTCGACTGACTCACTCGAGTTCACTAAGAGAGAGATCTGTTCTCGTGTTTATATTATGCAAGATCCAGCACGCACACCACCCATTACCATAATCCACCATCACATGTCATCGCCCACCACCGNTTCGAGTTCATCAAGGGAGAGATCTGTTATCGTGTTTATATTGTGCAAGATCCAGCACACACAATTGTCTATTATGTTATCAGTTTATTTACTCTCCATGCCAGATTAAAAATTATTAATTCCCCATCCAATGTAAAGTTAATATTTCTAGAAAAAAGGAGAATCAAAAGAAAGAGTAAAAAGTGAAAGAAAAGGAATAGTTTATATAAATGAGGGGCGCGACTATAAATATGAAAGAACTGGGGAGGGGGGGGGGGCGTTTCCACATAAATGAGCTACAAATATCCCAAAACATCGCTGCGACGAGTAAATTGCAACACGTAGGTCCAAATCTCAGCTTGCTATTTATCTGTTTCTAGGGTTTTGCTGTAGTTGGTAGTATTACCACAGAATCAAAGTCGATTGACAATGGCTGGTACTGGAATGCACCAATATCATCACCAATGGCCGCCGGCCCAAGCCCCTCCTCCTGCTCCTTCCGCCATCGCTCCACCGCCACCTCCGCAGCATTCCCACCCTCCGATGCCCTCTCCCACCGATGAGGTACAATAACACACACACACACACACTCCGTTTCTTTAATTTTTAATGTGCCCTGATTTATACATAGAATTGAAAACTGGCGATGTATGTGTTTGGGTTTAAGGTTCGAACAATCTTTATATCTGGGCTTCCCGAAGACGTGAAAGAGAGAGAACTACAGAACCTACTGAGATGGTTGCCTGGTTACGAGGCTTCGCAGGTCAACTTTAAAGGCGAACATCCCATGGGCTTTGCCCTGTTCTCTACTCCACAATTTGCTATTGCTGCCAAAGATGCCCTTCAGGTAGTTCTATAGGACTTAATTCGATGGAATTCTATTTGTTTGTTTTATGTTATATATGTTTCATAGAGTTCTTGATTTTGGTTTCTGGGGTTAGGACATGGTTTTTGATGCGGAATCGAAGTCACTGTTGCATACAGAAATGGCAAAGAAGAATCTTTTTGTGAAAAGGGGTGAGTTTTCTCATCTTAGTTGATGGTTTGTTAGAAGTGGAGACACAATTATATTACTGTGTAGCTGCTGATTCTTGAGACTATTGGTGAAGAGAACACGAAGTAAAGTATTGTTATGTGTTGTTTAATACCAAAATATCAAGAATTGTTGTCAAATTTTTGCCCTCCCCTAATAGTTTCAGCATCTAGAAAGTCCTCTGGGTGGTTGCTGCAAAAATGCGGGTGGGGAAGTGTCAAAGGGTGACCTAAATAGCAGAATTTAGATAGCAGAATACTGAAGTACTTTGCAAACAAATAGAACAAAAATTAAAAAGGAACAGGGAGAATTTTGATTTTTGATTGACCGAGCATTTTCTAAATGCTTAATGAAATTTTGTATCTTATGGTATAGTTGTAGTGTTTCTTTCATTTGAGGAGGAGAATATGACAATTGTCAGTGGAGCAATGTCATTCTATTACTAAAATTCATGGGATTTTAGTTAATCCATGGCGTATAATATTTTTGTTGTTTATGGTGTAAGAAAGCAACTTTACTGAGAAGGATGAATGGTAACAGGAGAGTTGCTTGATGATAGGAGTTTTAGCATGTGTTTAATGTTAGAATGTTGCTCTTTGTGCCATTTGGTGTCTTTCAAAGGAACATTATAACTTTTAATCAAGGGGAGGGTCTCATGAATAGTTAATTTGAACTTATGTTTCACAAACTGAGGGCACTATTCTTGTGGGTCTCAGGGATTGAGAAATCTCATAATTAATGCAAGGGGTGCAAAACTCGTCATGCTAGTACTGATACGCTTGGGCAGTTGCTTTTGATGAGTATGAGTTTCTTTGGTGAGATTAGTCTGTGACTCTCATAGCAATGCGGGTTTGAACTACACCCTCGCCAAAGAAACTCGTACTCATCAAAGGCAATGAGGGTTTAGTTGAAATTTAGAGACATTATGTTGCTTTTTCTTGACTTTGAAATATACTTATTAACTACAAAAAAAAAAAAAAAGAGAGTAAAAGAAAGAAAATAAAATTGAGAGGAGTTCAAATGTTAATTTGGCATTGAGTAACATTTGACTCTACTGTTTTGTGGCCCTGAAACTCTGGTACTTGCTCCTTTTCCTTCCTCCTTCTTCTCTCTCTGCACACTTGCATATGATTGTGCGGACAGATAGCCGATATATTCCTAAACAATGTCATGAATCATAAATCTCCATAACTTATACCTGGAATTGGGGTAGGTAGGTTGGTATGTTCTCCACGTATGAGCACACACATGGATACTCAAACAGTTTCATTAATCATTACTTGCATAACTGTCCATGGGGGATTGAGATTGGTTTTACCACTTGAATTGTAAGTTGTACGTTTTTCCTTTATGCTTCATTAAACACGAATGAGATATTTAATGCACAGAAATACTTTCAGGTTAAATTGAAAGCAATACTCTCAATTTTTTGGGCACCACTATATCTTATGTGTTGCTTGGAAAATGTTTGGATCAATGGCCTGAGGTTCCTAACTGAATTGTTGTATCCATGAGGAGCATTTTCTATTCTGTTAGGTCCAAAGAATACCTTGTGAAAATTGTCTATTTTAATTTTTATGTTGAATTTGTGTTGGGCTTGTGCTGATTGTCGTTAGTCTGCAGGGATAGTGGCTGATTCGAATGCTTATGACCAGAGTAAACGCATGCGAACTGGTGGTGATTATACCCACAGTGGGTATTCAAGTCCATCTCCTTTTCATCCTCCTCCAGCTCCTGTTTGGGGACCACATGGGTAAGAGTTCTTTTTGCCGTTTCCCAACTCAATTCAATGAAGTCTTGTCCCAACAGGAAGAAAGTTTAATATGCTCTTCCCAGTAGAATTAATTCTTCAGTTCCAATGGCAGTGTGTTTAATGAAGCACACACTATGTCTTGTTGATAATTGCTGGTTATCTGCCTTAGGTATATGGCTCCAGCTCCTCCACCGTATGATCCATATGGAGGTTATCCTGTTCCTCCAGTTCAAATGCCAGCCCCTTCTCCTGTACCAGCACCTAGCAGCTATGTACCTATTCAGGTGATACCCATGTGCAATGCTTCTGTTTCTTTTTTCCTTTCTGATCATTGCTGAATTAATCACATTACTTCGTTGTTTGCCGTCCGATTGCTTGTCCCATTGTAGTCCATTTATCTTGCTTGCTTCACCTACTCTGGGATTTAGTTATAATCCTTATGTTTCTTTCAAGTCTTTTTCGGGTGTGCTTGTGATAACCTATGGTTAATTCTTAAAATCTGTGGCAGTCCATGTTGAGAGTGTACTTGTCATATTATAATGTTTTAGAAGAAGTAGAAGGGCACCATATTATTTGGCTGTGTTTCTGCCATCAAGTTGCAGGAACTATGAATATGTGCCATAAAATAGGTTAGAAATCATGAATTTTCAGATAAGTTGCATGTGCTTTGTTTTATTTTCTGAGAATTCACTTGATATGGCCTTTACGTAGGCGGATTGATTGAAAAATTGCAATTATTTGACGAAAGAAACTTATTTAAGATTTGTATCATTTTAGGACTTTGCTACACATAATCTTGGCAAGCAGCTTGTTTTTTAGAGTCACAATGTGCTGGGTTTAGATAGGGCTTTTGAGGTTTCCTCATGGCTTGCTTTTGGGGTGGTGGCGGCAGTAAACGCGCAGGGCTTGTGCAGGGCTTTTGAGTTTGCCTTATGGCATGCTTTGGGGGTTGGGGATGATAATTTGCCCTGGAGCATTAAAAACCTGTGTTCTTGACTTCTTGTTACCCCCCCCCCCCCCCCCCCCCCCCCCCCCCCCCCCCCCCCCCCCCCCCCCCCCCCCCCCCCCCCCCCCCCCCCCCCCCCCCCCCCCCCCCCCCCCCCCCCCCCCCCCCCCCCCCCCCCCCCCCCCCCCCCCCCCCCCCCCCCCCCCCCCCCCCCCCCCCCCCCCCCCCCCCCCCCCCCCCCCCCCCCCCCCCCCCCCCCCCCCCCCCCCCCCCCCCCCCCCCCCCCCCCCCCCCCCCCCCCCCCCCCCCCCCCCCCCCCCCCCCCCCCCCCCCCCCCCCCCCCCCCCCCCCCCCCCCCCCCCCCCCCCCCCCCCCCCCCCCCCCCCCCCCCCCCCCCCCCCCCCCCCCCCCCCCCCCCCCCCCCCCCCCCCCCCCCCCCCCCCCCCCCCCCCCCCCCCCCCCCCCCCCCCCCCCCCCCCCCCCCCCCCCCCCCCCCCCCCCCCCCCCCCCCCCCCCCCCCCCCCCCCCCCCCCCCCCCCCCCCCCCCCCCCCCCCCCCCCCCCCCCCCCCCCCCCCCCCCCCCCCCCCCCCCCCCCCCCCCCCCCCCCCCCCCCCCCCCCCCCCCCCCCCCCCCCCCCCCCCCCCCCCCCCCCCCCCCCCCCCCCCCCCCCCCCCCCCCCCCCCCCCCCCCCCCCCCCCCCCCCCCCCCCCCCCCCCCCCCCCCCCCCCCCCCCCCCCCCCCCCCCCCCCCCCCCCCCCCCCCCCCCCCCCCCCCCCCCCCCCCCCCCCCCCCCCCCCCCCCCCCCCCCCCCCCCCCCCCCCCCCCCCCCCCCCCCCCCCCCCCCCCCCCCCCCCCCCCCCCCCCCCCCCCCCCCCCCCCCCCCCCCCCCCCCCCCCCCCCCCCCCCCCCCCCCCCCCCCCCCCCCCCCCCCCCCCCCCCCCCCCCCCCCCCCCCCCCCCCCCCCCCCCCCCCCCCCCCCCCCCCCCCCCCCCCCCCCCCCCCCCCCCCCCCCCCCCCCCCCCCCCCCCCCCCCCCCCCCCCCCCCCCCCCCCCCCCCCCCCCCCCCCCCCCCCCCCCCCCCCCCCCCCCCCCCCCCCCCCCCCCCCCCCCCCCCCCCCCCCCCCCCCCCCCCCCCCCCCCCCCCCCCCCCCCCCCCCCCCCCCCCCCCCCCCCCCCCCCCCCCCCCCCCCCCCCCCCCCCCCCCCCCCCCCCCCCCCCCCCCCCCCCCCCCCCCCCCCCCCCCCCCCCCCCCCCCCCCCCCCCCCCCCCCCCCCCCCCCCCCCCCCCCCCCCCCCCCCCCCCCCCCCCCCCCCCCCCCCCCCCCCCCCCCCCCCCCCCCCCCCCCCCCCCCCCCCCCCCCCCCCCCCCCCCCCCCCCCCCCCCCCCCCCCCCCCCCCCCCCCCCCCCCCCCCCCCCCCCCCCCCCCCCCCCCCCCCCCCCCCCCCCCCCCCCCCCCCCCCCCCCCCCCCCCCCCCCCCCCCCCCCCCCCCCCCCCCCCCCCCCCCCCCCCCCCCCCCCCCCCCCCCCCCCCCCCCCCCCCCCCCCCCCCCCCCCCCCCCCCCCCCCCCCCCCCCCCCCCCCCCCCCCCCCCCCCCCCCCCCCCCCCCCCCCCCCCCNCCCCCCCCCCCCCCCCAACACGCACATACACACACACAAAAACAAAATTGCATATCTTGATCTTGGAGAAAATAGCTATATTTATTTGTTCGACTGTAATATGTTTAATTTCCTGTGTTAATCAGTTGAAGTGCTCAATGGTAAAGAAAATTTTCTGAAGATGTAAATGTTTCTAACTTTCTATGCCATGCCATTCATTTGCTTTCTCCTTTGTCTCTTCCCAATTTTCATCAATCTAATATATGTAAATACGCAAATGAAAATAAACAACAAGCTCTTACCTGCTACCTTGAGGCTTCCACACCTTGCCTCTGTAATGGTGGGAAATTTTATTTTTTTTATTTTGCTTTTAAGAGCTGAGTTTGTGAGAAACGAGCAAATAGCCGATATATGAGTAGCTGCTTTTGTTACGCCAACTAGTACATGACAAGGAAAAATGGCTAGCATGTATTAGTGAAGGTATAATAATTTTTAGTATCTGAATGTTTAGTGAATATAAGGTGTCAGTTTTTTTTGATAGGGTAGATAAGGTCTCAGTTTTTTTTTGATAGGGCAGATAAGGTGTCAGTAATACCTAATAGAAACATTGTGACATTTTTTGCTTTGCAAATTGCATGCCCAAACTTGCAACTCAAATTAAATATCATTAGCTATTACTGCTGGATACAGTGTCGGCATAATTTCGACACACTTGATGCACGTGGGACATACATTTGCTTTAGTGTGAATGTACGTGTTTTTCTGCTGTAACATATATGTGTGTATATATGTAAGCAACAATAGGTAAAAAAAAAGGGAAGTTGTATATATTCCTGTGTTTGTTTGTGTGTGCATTTGTGGAATTCTTAATAGGCCACTGCTTAAATTGAAAGTTCTTTTATTTCTTGTTCTTTGCCTCCCTTTTGCATGAAAAAGATTGAAACTTATAAGAATGATATATTCTCTGTTTTTCTTTTTTCTTTTTGGGGAACTGAAGCTCATGTGTAATTGGGTTTATAATTAGTAAGACAAATTAGGTGAGGTGCATAATACACAACATTAAGGCACAGCCTACATGTGATGACTCTATGAAGGCAGCCTAAAGCTGGCTTGAATTTCTTGAGACTAGCATGACATGACAAACTTGTGATATGTTATATAGTTGGTCTTGGGTAAAGTAGTAAAAACAAATACATCAAGCATCAGCGGTACTCTATAGAATTGTTTAATGTAATCTTGGCTTGGAATTCCTTAGCTTTTGTGTTGAATTGTGGTAGATCAGTCTTAAAGCTGCGAGGTTGTGTATTCCATCTTGAAATTTTGAAGTCACACTACATGCAATATGTAGCCTCATTTGCCTGCCAGAAGATCTGTATGACTCATTGCACTGATAAATCTTAAAACTTTGGTTTATATTAAATAAAAATTTGAGCTGTTCACTTTACCTGCCTGCGAACTAACTAGCAAACTATTGATTTGTTGAGGTCTCATTGTTGCATGTTTTTTCTGTGTTTATTGCAATTTTGTTTGGAAAAAAAAATTCCTAACAAGGGTTTTTCTGGTCGCCCTGTTTTCTTGTAGAATACCAAAGATAACCCCCCTTGCAATACTTTATTTATTGGCAATCTTGGAGAGAACGTAAATGAGGAAGAGCTGAGGGGCCTTTTCAGCGTGTATGAATTTTGCTACCTTAGCTAGATGGACTAGTTTTTTTAATTCTTCTTTATTACTTACTAAATGGCAACGAGTGATTGGTTTCTTCTGTTTCGTGTCACATTCTTTTTATACAGACAACCTGGTTTTAAGCAGATGAAGATTTTGAGACAGGAAAGGCATACTGTTTGCTTCATTGAATTTGAAGTAAGTTTTCCTAATTCATGTGTTTACATACTTTTGTTATGCTGCTATCTTCTCTTCTGATGCTCATTTCTCCGTTTTGTCAAATTGTATTTACTTGAGCTCTGTCATATCACTTGTGCAGGATGTGAACAGTGCCTCCAACGTGCACCATACCTTGCAGGGTGCTGTTATACATAGTTCTGGTTCTATTGGCATGCGAATACAATATCCTTTATGTTTTTAAGGTTTTTTTTGATGAAATTCAGTTATTGTTATTATTTTCTTTTTCGCTTTTGGTCAATTATCTTTTTCTCTTCTCTCCTTTCTTTTGTTATCTGCTTCTATGTTGTGGCCAATTTTATCGAGAAAAAGCCCAAACCAACACGAAAAATCATAAACTGGCATGGTTGAAGAGTTTGTGTTCCGCTATGGACTTTTGCTTTATGGAGAAAAGAAAATTTTTAGACTGATCTAGTATTGCTTATGTGTTTTGTCTCTGTTTTTCTTAACGTCTGGAAACATTTTCGAAGAATCCATTTGGAAAAAGGAAGGATTTCATCCACCAAGTTGTCGCCCCTGCTGCAAATGGAACTCCGCAACCTTTGACCTACCAGTAGGCTGGAAGGGGCGTACTCTGCTCTCTATGCTATGACAAGTACAAACTAACATGATAGGATGCATCTTGCAGCTGTTGCATGCATCCATCTCATCATCAAGTCATCAGCATTAGCATCTCTTCGCATGTGACTGAATGCACGCCGGGGTGTCATGAACATATTTGTTGAAGACATGCATTTGAAGCAGAGACATTTGACTGCTTATGTTAACTTTTCCAGGGCTTTGGTTTTGTTACATATTGTTGAAGTGGTGCATGGGTTTGTAGTTTTGTTGGATTTGTGTGATTTGACACCTCATTCGGTCCATGTTGTTCATCAACAGTAAAACTTTTCCATTAGACATCTGCTGTAGGAACTGCTTTTCTTAGCTCCTTGGAAGGTTTAAGTACGCTACATACATGTCATTCCATGTTAATCTAAGAATGATAAGAGTTTCATTTCCTGGTATGGTTACCATGATAGGGAATATTTTGAAACTCACATCCTGGTCCATCATTACCATTACTATTACCATACCTATCACCACATAGGGCTATTCATAATTAATTCCATTATCATCTGTTTAGCAAACTGATGAAGGCGTTTTAACATTCATGGTGATCGAAGCATAAATAATTCAAAGAATATCGGGAAATCTATGCTCCCATTGCTGTGCAGGTTTTTGGATTACAATGATGTGGATTTCATTTTGTTAGAGAAGTGTCAATGGCTGGAGCTGCTTTTTTATTTCAGGTGGTTTGGCGTTTAGATGCCACGATATCCCATTGTTGATGTTAATTGACAGGTCATTGAGGATTAAACTTGCTGTTAGTTTTCAATCTGAGGTAGACATTGAGCTCGATGGGGGAGATTATTTGAGCCCTACAAACTCATGATTGTTGAAGTTGGGTCTTGGTGTCTGGCTCTCTTTCCAGTTCCTTTGCAATGTCTGCTTGCATCTCATGGCCAGCGAAGTTTTTGGTCTCCGACAGTGGGGATGAATAACTCGGTCCTGTTGATATACTTGTGCGTTGGGAAAAAGTTGTATTAAAAAAAAAATTGTTTTGTAGGTATGAAATGAAAAAAGTAATATCAAGCAATTCTAATCTTTAAGGACACGGAGACTTTTTTATAACCCTTTCCTGTTCTGGTGTTCTTTTTTTGTTCTTATGGTGTTAACTTTATTAGCTGTTGGCATTGGCAATTAGTATTTTTGTCAAATGGAATCTTACAAGTTATTGCCCATCTTTTTCGATCTGCATTTGATATTTAATGTGTGTGTGTGTGTGAGAGAGAGAGAGGTGGCAAATTGAAGCTTTTATGGTGTAACCACTACTTTTTTAAGCTTTTTGTAGTGTGAACAGGGGAAGTGAGAGGCTTCTGGTTGTCCTATACTGCCAATTTAGTAGAATCTGTCTAACTACCATTATAGCAGTTGGTGGGTGCGTGCGGCGTGGGTGGATACCATTGATTCATTTCGGTTTGCTGGTTAAGATTTGAAGTGTGTTCTTTTTCCAGCCATGTCCTACATTTACTTACCATTGATGACAGTGGGGCCCGACTATTTAGGGTGATGTCCTAATCTTACCAGTATCGACCCACCATCATGTGATTCAAGTTTTAGATCTAGTTCTTCCGAGTGAGGTGGTTTAGTGGGGGTATTAGTTGAATTTTTCATTTTGAGATTGGAGATTCGAATTTTGAAATTAATATTGAGGTTCGGTGATTGATTGTTATGTTAACTTAATTAAGTTAGTTCTTGAAAAAAAATAACGGATGCTATTAAGAGGCTGATTGATTCAACTAATAAAGGTCTATTGAGTTAGTTTCTAAACAATTTCATTTGCCCCACTCCTTTAAGAAGACTGAGTTTTAGATATAGTGCTTAACTTAACTACCCCTGGGGCCTACATAGCATTACCTTTCAATGTAGGTTTAACACTTAAAGAGGTGTTTGGACCAAAGTCATCGTTAAATGATGTTTAGTGTTTGATATAGTACCAAAAAAATAATATTTTTGGTCATAGAGAATGTGACGTGGGTACAATTTTTTTATTATTTTATTTTATTTTTATGATCAATGGTCATACATAAATTAAAGTAGGGTTAATTGAACTAAAAGTCCTCAAAGTATAGAATTTGTTTTATTTTGGTTTTTAATATTTTAATTACATTATTTTGATCCCTTAAGTATTGAATATGTTTCTATGTGACCTCTCAATCAAACAATATCTAAATTGTTAATGATTTTTGTTCAGAAACTTATCACTCGATACCTAAATATGAGTAAAAAATAATTTGGCTAGATATTGACCAAAATTTAGGTAGTCATTGACCAAAATTTAGGTAGACCTTGACCAATCTTTGAGTAGCTCTTGACAAAAAGTGTATAATATAGATAACTATTGACCAAAATTTGAGTAGCTCTTGACCAAAAATATGTAATATGAGTGACTCTTGACCAAAATTTAGATAGTTCATAATCAGAACGGTGCAATTTGAGTAAAATTTGGTCAAGAGTTATCCAAAATATTTTTTTGCCAATATTAGGCGTTACTTGATAAGTTTATAATAAAAAATTATTAACAATTTGGATGTTGTCTGCTTGAGGAACTACATAGAAATATATTCAATATTTTAGGAATTAAAATAATAAAATTAAAATATTAGGGACTAAAATGATATAAATCTCATACTTTAAGGACCTATAGTACAATTAATCCATTAAAATAAAAGTTATTATAACATCATTGTCTTATCCTAAAGGTTAATATGATATAAAGGCTGAAGAAAAATTGTGATCAAATGACATAAGACTTTGGTTGGAAGGGCCAAAAACGGACTTACATTTCTGGTAATCAATTGGAGCTATTTTAAAAATATCTGGGTGGGTCGGTCGGTTAGGCCACTTTCACACCTTGAACGCTGCGTGTCACTCTCTATTTATTTGATAATGATAAGTTTATATATTTTGAATTTGAATTTTAATAATTTTTTAATATTAAATTATAAAAAAATTTACCACTGATAAATATGTTATTTTTAACGTATTAACCATTAAAATTCAGTTCTTCGAAGTACAATAAATTCTGAAACTAAAGGTAAAGGCACACAAGGGTATGCGAAATGCAGATTAACTGGCAATTGATCGAACTTACCAAAAAAGGCAGGCTTCAACACGAGGGAGACCAAAGCCAACCCCACTCCCACTGTATAAGGTCCAAAACAAGTCCCAAAAGCAAGTGAAAAACGTGTTGGCGGACCACAATGGAGGTGTGAACAACACTCAGAGACCAGATGTGGAAACCTCGTTGACTTGGCTTTTCTCATTTCCAAGGCACAGATAAATCTATGTTTTATAATGGGCGGTAATGTGCTTCTGTCTTCTTTGTTTTAGTTCTCTACTTTCCTCCATATTCTCTCTCTCTCTCTGCGCTGATGACAAGTTGACAACCGAGTTCTCATCTTCGTTTCATGTTCCTAGTTGCTACTCAGTGGAAATTCAAGGGGTCATCCTAAATGGGTAAGTGTCTTCAGCTAATTTTTATGCTCCTCACAATTGAATCTCGAAAACATGCAATACCCTCGTGCTGTTTGAGATTTCTTGTGATTTTTTGGCTGGGTTAGTGTCTTTGGCTCACTCTAGACCTCACAATTGAGTCTTTAACTAAATTTTCTCTTACCTTTTCCATCACTGGTAGAGCTCTCTCTCTCTCTCTCTCTCTCTATGTGTTCAAGTTTTTGATAAAATGAGGGTTCCTATGAACTATTTCTTGCTATTGTTCTGCTTCTTTTTGTTACCATATGCTGTGTCTGCTTTGAGCTATGATGGAACAGCTCTATTGTCACTAGTGAGGCGTTGGACAGTAGTACCTCCTTCCATTAAATCGAGCTGGAATGCTTCTGATTCCACTCCTTGCTCATGGGTTGGAGTCCAATGTCACACAAACAACTTTGTGGTTGCTTTAAACCTGTCTAGCTATGAGGTTTCAGGCACACTAGGACCCGAAATTGCTTATTTGAAGTACTTGAGGTCAATTGACTTCAGCATTAATAATTTCTCTGGTTCCATACCTTTGGAGTTAGGCAATTGTAGTCTTCTTGACCATTTGGATCTGTCCTTTAATGGCTTTACAGGCCAAATACCCGAAACCCTTGGAAACTTGCAGGATTTACAATATTTAAGTTTGTTTGATAATTCTCTTACTGGTGCAATACCTGAATTTTTGTTTCGAATTCCCCATTTGGAAACTATCTATCTTCATGATAACAAGCTGAGTGGGTCAATCCCGTCAAGTATTGGGAACATGAGTGAGATTTCAATTTTATGGTTATATGGTAACCAATTATCAGGGACCATACATTCCTCCATAGGAAATTGTAGTACCTTGCAGGAACTATATTTGAATGACAACAGATTGAGTGGAGGTCTGCCTGAGAGTTTAAATAATCTTGAGAACCTTGTTTATTTGGATGTCAGTGATAACATTCTAGAGGGTAGTATTCCCTTGGGGTCGGGTGGATGCAGGGAAATGTACTCTTTGGTTTTGTCTGACAATCATTTCAGCACAGAGATTCCATCAGGGTTGAGAAATTGTAGTAGCTTAACAATATTAGCTGCTGTGAATTGCAATTTGTCCGGTCCCATCCCTACTTCTTTGGGCCAACTCAGTAACCTGGTGACTCTTTACCTTCAAGAAAACCGTTTGTCTGGCAAGATACCACCTGAACTCGGGAACTGCAGATCCTTGATTGATTTACAACTCCAAGAAAATCAACTTGAAGGTGAAATTCCGAGTGAATTAGGGATGCTGGGTGAGTTGCAGAGTCTTTTCTTGTTCACCAACCATTTGACTGGTGAAATTCCAATTGGTATCTGGAAGATACAAAGCCTTGAGAATCTCCTTGTGTATAATAACAATCTTTATGGGGAACTACCAGTTGAGATCACTGAGCTAAAGCAATTAAAAAACATTTCCTTGTTCAACAACCGGTTTTCTGGAGTCATACCCCAATGCTTGGGAATTAATAGCAGTCTAACCCAGCTGGACTTCACTAACAATGCATTCACTGGTGAAATCCCACCAAAACTTTGCTTCCATAAGCAACTGAGCAAGTTGCTCTTAGGACNTATGAACTATTTCTTGCTATTGTTCTGCTTCTTTTTGTTACCATATGCTGTGTCTGCTTTGAGCTATGATGGAACAGCTCTATTGTCACTAGTGAGGCGTTGGACAGTAGTACCTCCTTCCATTAAATCGAGCTGGAATGCTTCTGATTCCACTCCTTGCTCATGGGTTGGAGTCCAATGTCACACAAACAACTTTGTGGTTGCTTTAAACCTGTCTAGCTATGAGGTTTCAGGCACACTAGGACCCGAAATTGCTTATTTGAAGTACTTGAGGTCAATTGACTTCAGCATTAATAATTTCTCTGGTTCCATACCTTTGGAGTTAGGCAATTGTAGTCTTCTTGACCATTTGGATCTGTCCTTTAATGGCTTTACAGGCCAAATACCCGAAACCCTTGGAAACTTGCAGGATTTACAATATTTAAGTTTGTTTGATAATTCTCTTACTGGTGCAATACCTGAATTTTTGTTTCGAATTCCCCATTTGGAAACTATCTATCTTCATGATAACAAGCTGAGTGGGTCAATCCCGTCAAGTATTGGGAACATGAGTGAGATTTCAATTTTATGGTTATATGGTAACCAATTATCAGGGACCATACATTCCTCCATAGGAAATTGTAGTACCTTGCAGGAACTATATTTGAATGACAACAGATTGAGTGGAGGTCTGCCTGAGAGTTTAAATAATCTTGAGAACCTTGTTTATTTGGATGTCAGTGATAACATTCTAGAGGGTAGTATTCCCTTGGGGTCGGGTGGATGCAGGGAAATGTACTCTTTGGTTTTGTCTGACAATCATTTCAGCACAGAGATTCCATCAGGGTTGAGAAATTGTAGTAGCTTAACAATATTAGCTGCTGTGAATTGCAATTTGTCCGGTCCCATCCCTACTTCTTTGGGCCAACTCAGTAACCTGGTGACTCTTTACCTTCAAGAAAACCGTTTGTCTGGCAAGATACCACCTGAACTCGGGAACTGCAGATCCTTGATTGATTTACAACTCCAAGAAAATCAACTTGAAGGTGAAATTCCGAGTGAATTAGGGATGCTGGGTGAGTTGCAGAGTCTTTTCTTGTTCACCAACCATTTGACTGGTGAAATTCCAATTGGTATCTGGAAGATACAAAGCCTTGAGAATCTCCTTGTGTATAATAACAATCTTTATGGGGAACTACCAGTTGAGATCACTGAGCTAAAGCAATTAAAAAACATTTCCTTGTTCAACAACCGGTTTTCTGGAGTCATACCCCAATGCTTGGGAATTAATAGCAGTCTAACCCAGCTGGACTTCACTAACAATGCATTCACTGGTGAAATCCCACCAAAACTTTGCTTCCATAAGCAACTGAGCAAGTTGCTCTTAGGACTGAATCATCTTGAAGGTAGCATTCCTTCGGATGTTGGAAGCTGTTCAACATTGACGAGACTGATTCTTACAGGGAATAATCTCACTGGCGTTCTACCTGAATTTGTGAAAAATCCAAACCTTCTATACATGAACCTCTGTAAAAATAACTTTGGTGGAACTATTCCCCCAAGTTTTGGGAACCTTACCCATATAACCTCAATTGATTTGTCAATGAACAAGCTCACAGGGCTTGTGCCCCAAGAGCTGGGAAGTCTTGTGTACCTTCAGGGTTTGAATCTGTCTCACAATGGTTTGGAAGGTCTGCTGCCATCTCAATTGTCAAACTGCAACAAATTGTTGCAACTTGATGTGAGTTATAATTTGTTGAATGGTTCAATTCCATTGAGTTTGAGAGGCTTGACTGAATTGACCACTCTGGGTTTAAGTGAGAATCATTTTACTGGGGGCATTCCATCTTTCTTGTTTGAATTCAACATCCTTTCGAATCTCCAACTTGGTGGAAATCTATTAGGTGGGAATATTCCATCATCGATTGGAAAGATCGGAGCAGTGCAGAACTTGAGAGCATTGAATCTAAGCAATAATGGGTTGACGGGTGACATCCCGCCAGAACTAGGGAAGTTGATCATGCTAGAGCAGTTAGACATTTCTCGCAACAATCTGACTGGAACTTTAGGAGCACTTGATGATGTCCATTCGTTGATTTTCCTCAACGTCTCGTACAATTTCTTGACTGGTTCAATACCGTCAACATTGATTAAGCAGCTGAATTCCTCTCCCTCTTCCTTTGTGGGCAACTTGGGTCTTTGCGTCAACTGTCTTCCAGCTGGTGGCGTAACTTGCATTGAAAACAGCAATTTTAGTCCCTGCAATCTTCACTCCAAAAACAGGAAAGGCTTTAGTAAACTAGAAATCACAATGATAGCTTTGGGATCATCAATATTTGTGGTTTTTCTGCTCCTTGCTCTGGGTTTGGTGTTTCTCTGGTACAGAAGACCAAAAAAGCAAGTTGAACTCTCTGTTAATGAAGAGTCTGCTGCTTCTGTGCTCAACGAAATTATGGAAGCTACTGAGAACCTGAACGAGAGGTACATTATTGGCAGAGGAGCCCATGGAACTGTATATAAGGCTTCATTAGGTCCGGATAAAGTGTATGCTGTAAAGAAGCTCATCTTTGCAGGACCCAGGGGGGAAAGTGCAAGTATGTTTAGAGAAATTCAGACAGTTGGGAAGGTTAGGCACCGGAATCTAATCAAGCTGGAAGAATTTTGGTCAAGAAAAGATTATGGTTTGATCTTGTATAGTTACATGCAGAACGGCAGCCTTCATGATGTTCTCCATAAGAGAAAACCACAGCCCAACTTAGATTGGAATGTCCGATATACTATAGCTCTTGGAACTGCACAAGGATTGGCATATCTCCATTTTGACTGTGTTCCTGCTATCGTCCACCGAGACATAAAACCTATGAACATTCTTTTGGACTCTGAAATGGTGCCTCATATTTCGGATTTTGGCATTGCCAAGCTTCTGGATCACTCATCTACTTCAACACCCTCCTGCACGGGACTGCAGGGCACAATTGGGTATATTGCTCCAGGTAATACTTGTATATGTACTACTTTGTTTAGCACATATATTTCAATATTGTGCCTGGGTTGTGATTTTTCCATTTCTTTTTTACAGAGAATGCATTTGCAACTACAAAGAGCAAGGAGTCTGATGTCTACAGTTATGGGGTTGTTTTGTTGGAACTGATAACTAGAAAGCATGCTTTGGATCCTTTGTTTATGAAGGAAGGAGACATTGTTGGGTGTGCTAGATCTGCGTGGAGCAACTTCGAAGAAATTGAGAGGTTTGTAGATCCAAGCCTTTTGGATGAATTTATAGAGTCGAGGATCATGAAACAAGTTATTGATGTGCTTTTGATAGCTTTGAGGTGTACAGAAAAGGAGGCTGGCAAAAGACCCTCAATGAGAGATGTAGTGAAGTTGCTAGTAGATGCAAATGCCACTGTTAGAAACAAGTATAGCTAGCTCTTACTCATGTTATGTAACTTTCTGCATCTCACAGTACTGTAAGATGTGTAAAGCCGGTTATAGTAATGTAGTGCCCTTGATTAAGTGTTTGTGTATTCATTCTCTTTGCATTTGGTTGCATGCATAGCCATGTAGTTTCTCAGCTGCTGCAAAGAAAGAGAAATCCTCCAAACATCTTTCTTTCCCATGTTAGTAGAAAAATGCACGCTTTTGCCAGGTATGCATAGCTATTGGAAGCATCTTTGACTATCATTTTCTTCTCTTCCACTTTGGCCAATATGAGGTCACCTGGTACTAGCAGCTTTTTCGGGGGATTTTTCATCTTAATAGGAGCTTTCCAAATAAATAGCTTAGTAGCCGCAGTGCTTGGAATGATTTTAGACGCGGCGTACTCTCTTTGACTATATAATTGTGTGATTTCAGAGAATTTAAAACTCGATTTTCTCCATAAATTCTCTGATCCAAATGGTAGATAAGTTTCCTTAGTTATACTTCTTATTGTTGGAGGGGCAACCGTTCATTAAACTACTAAAACTCTTCTAGTAGCCTGCCTTAAGGGTGGGGATAGCTTATGGTCTTTAAACGTTTGTTATAGGGCTTTCTATTGTCTTTTTAGTTCTTTTGAAAGAAAAGAGAATGAATAATTATAGCATTACTTCTGATTAGGGGTGTCAAAAATATCGGGTTAAACAGTTACGTGTCAAATTAAACAAGTAATAAGTGAAAAATATATAAACTCGTACATGAAACGTTTAAATGGAAAAAAAATCTCAACACGGACACAACTCATTTAACCCGTTTAATTTTAAAAAAATTATATCAACAAATTTTAAAATTCTACTTTTTTTACTGCCAATTGCACTTGCCTCAAAAAAAAAAGAATTTTTAGTCAAATCTCATAAAAATAAGACTTGAATACTTAAAAAAAAGGGTTTTAAGGGGGGTGGTATCTTTTTTAGAAATTATAGGGCAGAAAGTACTACTTTTAAAAATATAGGTCAAAAAATACATAACCCCTAATAAATCTGTAAAATACCCTCTTCAGTAGAATGAGAACCGATTCCTATATTTTTGCTTCCACAACCAAAACTTAAGGGGTCTCAACTGTTACACATAAATCCCTTCAATATCGCTAGAAACTCTATTCTTTCAAAAATTTCCTTTTGAATTTTCAAAATTTCCTGTTGATCGTTGCTGAAGAAAGGATCTTTTCAAAACTTCATTATCCAAATCTTTACCTTTGTTTGCAACATAAAGACACCAACTAACCACAACCCAAATTTAAGGACTGAAGTTCTAGAAAATTTACCAACACTGTCGTTGATAACTCCGACGGACTGAGAAATTTTAGAGATTCGAAAGTCATGAATTTTTGTCACTTTTAGCTCTTCATTGGAGAATTGGTCAGAGGGAAAATTAGGACTTTGTTCAGGTGGGATTTCACTGGGATTAATTGGGTTTGCTGGGGGTAATTGGGGGAGGGGTTTGGGAGAGGGTTTTGTTATGGTTTTGAGGATTTTGGGGCGGAGATAGTTTTTTCTCTTGATGGGTTTTGATAGAAATGGAGTGAAAATACAAGAAATTAATAATGGTTTTCTGCAAATGGGAGTGGCTGTAGCAGAAGGATGGAAGTGGTTGAATTTTTTGGAAAAGAAGTTGATAATTCAAGAACAATGTTGTTTTTTTTATTTTATCTACTTTTTTGCCCTCAATTACCTTTCTACTTGTAGTGTTTGATACTACATGCACACCAAGTGTTTGATCATTTGTCAAAAAAAAAAACCAAGAGACAGTATACATTGTGATATCCGTCATGTCAATATATGCAATGTGACATTGATTTGTAACAGTGTGACATTGGTTTGTAGCAGTGTGACATTTTCTAATACTAGTGTGATATTGTCTTGTAGCACTATGACATTATCGTGCGAGTCAGCAATTCATCCTCCGAATCAGAATCATCATCTTGATTATTATTATCATCCCCATTTGAGTCATCATCATTGACATTTACCCTCACATGAATATGATTGACGTTAAGAGACCGTAACAATTTTTCTTTTTAAAAAAACACATATGGACGATATTGTAGCAGTGTGACATTATCGTGCGAGGCAACAAATCATCCTCCGAATCAGAATCATCAACTTGATTATTACGATTTACTAAAAAAAATTATACAAATATGGAAAAGACATAAATGTTTGAATAACTTAAGTTGAATGAAAGAGAAAGATATATTTAAAATTCAAAAATGTTATTCCATAAATTTAGGAAACTAAATCCCTAATATATCTGTCATATTTGTCTCTCATTAATAAAGGAAATGACATTTTCGTAAGAAAAAAAATTACAATTCAACAAAAGTGTACCTTTTCACCAAACATTTACATACAAAGGTACTTATACACATATTTTATATTGAGGTACTTTTACACAAATAAGTATGAAATGATATACTTTTTCACAATTTTTCCTAAAAAAAAGAAGAAGCAAGAGGCCATTGTCTTTTATAAGCAACTCAACCCTCCCTATCTCCCCTCATTTTTCAATGTGAGACAAAAACAAAAGATATTGGTTTGCCTTTGTCTTTGAAGTGCTCCCCATCTTCTTTCTTTTGTCTTTGAACTACTACTTTCCTTTTTTTTTTTTTATTGATTTCTTTACTTCTTTTTTTCTTACTAATTTTTTAAAATAATTATTAATTTATTATTATATTAATTTTATTTAAACGGGTAAACGTATAGTAAACGGTTTGACAGGTCTTACTTGAACACGACTCGTTTATTAAACGTGTTTGGCGTGTCAATTCCTTTATCACAAAAATTTGTTAAGATCTCACCCAAACTCGATTAATTTGTGTAGATTAATCGTGTCGTGTCGAATTTTAACTGTCTTACTCCTGACCTTCTACGAAACACTGAAAGAATCTCTGAGGAAGGAGGGAGGCCCTGACAACTCTGATTCATATCTAGGGATTGTTAGCGGGAAATATTTTCACTCAAGTTTCCTAAGCATCTCGTGCTTGGAAACCAAATGATTATATTTTATTATTATTTTGATGGTTTGATGATTGTAATTTTGAGAAAATTCTATAGTAACAACTCGTAAATAAATTATTTTTACTTTTTTAAAAAAACATAGATATTCTCCTCATGATATATCTATGCAGTGAACATGACTAATTAGAACAACAAGAACTACATTTAATTAGCCAATTTGCTATAGTAGTAATTATTGACAAGAGCGGTGGTGCAATTAAACAATTTTATGCACTTTTGGCACGTGTGATTATAGATAATATTTATGAAACGTTTACGTATGATTAAATTTATATAGATTTTCTTTTGTGTATCATAGTTGGTGAATTCGAGATAAAACTATACACATATATTACTTCTAATATCTACTTTCATATTTGAAATGTACATGTTTGAAACACTCATAGCCTAGTGGTACCACAAAGAAAGATATATTTTACAAAGAAACAATTAGTTGGACGATACTAAATGCAATTACCACAAAATCTACATATTCTGAAATTATTACAGTAATTAAGCAATCATTTCTTTCGAATATCTACTTTTAATTTCCAACCGACAATGAGTAGATCTATAGGACATACCCAAACATCAAATTCAAAGTAGATTCAGCCGCTGAAACATGAACATCAAATTCAAAGTAGAATCAGCCACGTACAATTCATTTTGGAGCATTTCAATCTGGTTGTCCCACTCCTTTAGCTTTATACACACAGGCTTGCCGGATTATCACCATTTATCCACAAGTAATTGTTGTTGCTGCAATATATAATGGGTTTGAAATGATGTTGATTTCAACTTTATCTCTCTCTTCTTCTTCTTCTGGAACTGGAATAGGACATATTCTACCTACACCTCTCTCTTCCTCCTCTTCTGGGAGAGAAACTATTCTATTAATAGAGTGAGAATCTATTGGCAAATTTGGTGAATCTTTGAGTTTTGATGAAACGCCAACATCATTCACTTCCTAAAACTGATCTTGGGTGCCTCGGTTCATCCTAAAGGGGTAATGTCACAGGGTTAATTTTCTCACTAAATTTCTACCTCGTGATGGCACTAAGATTCCACACTTAGTCTCAGCCAGACACTAAGAATGTACACAGAATGCACATAGAACAAAGAGGAGACAGTAATCAGACACACAGATAGAGCACACAAAATTTACAGGCAATAGCCAAACCTTTCTTTCTCAATAAAGTATAAGGAACTCAGTCTTGAGTCTGTTTACAAAAACGTGTCAACTCTCTTGTTGCACTACAGACCCTAGACACCCTATTTATAATGTTCAAGGTGGTGGTTACAAGTCCAACCGCCTAGGCACATGCCTATAATTCAAATGCTACCAGAGGTCTGCTGTGATTGGATGACAGAGAAGTTATAATTGGTGTCTGCAGACTTCCCTGCATGCTTGTTTGAATCTGACAGAGATCCTACATGTTCCGCACTTGTCATAAATTGCCTAGAACTACCAGCATCTGCAGGTCATATCCTCAACTTCTTCACATGTTGTGCATATGCCAGGAGCCCTTAGCATCCGAATTGCATTGCCTTCGTGTCTAACTATGACCCAGCCCATGACTCATTATTCAAGCTAGCATCGCCTCACAATTCAAGCCACCTGCTTCCTTGCTTGTATGCTAACTTGTGCCCACGTGCCCATATGCATAGACTGCCTTCCTCAATCATGTATGACACTTCTGCCATTTTGGCTAAGGCATGGGCGCTTTTAGGGGAGGCTACCCGATGTCAAATGCTGCCAATGAATAAGGGGGTAACAAACCACCCCCACCAGAAGAGCTCGACGTCCTCATCGAGAGGTTGTCCCAATACTTCTTGATTTGTTTCTTAAACTGTCAAAGAGTTACATCTCGTTCCCAACTTACGTTTGCCTCGGAACCCCCTTTCCAATGCACCAGAAAATCAGTCCTGCGATTCTTCTTACTTTGACCCATGGTCCGGTGAAATAGAATCTTGTTGACCTCTCTATCAAACTATTTCCTGATGATAGGCGGAGCCCTCCTAGCTTGCTTCCTTCCAGCATTTAGTAAGTCTTCATGAAAATGCTTCAGAAAACTCATATGAAAAGTTGGATGAATTTTCAATCGATCAGGCAGCTTCAAGCGATAAGCAACATTCTCGACCT